GATGCAGATGGGTGCTAATATACTGAGAAGTAGCGGGTAGAGCACAGAGGCGAGGCATCCAAACCAGCAAAACCTTTGAGGCTGGTGTGAGGGAAGGGGAGAGACAGCCTAAGAGGAAAGAGTCAAGGATAGGAAGGGCCTAATCCAGAGACAAATCACTCACTTAGTTCAAGGCCATTTGGGGCCCGTCACTGCTCACCAGCCAGCCCACGCTGCTGGATGTTTCTCCCAGTGCCATCACCGTCCTGTTGTATCTCCCAGGACTCCGATAGGAGACAGAACTGTATATGAATTCAAATAGGAAAGAAAATAGGGGGCCAGAGTAGGCTCTTACCTACAAGAGGAAGAGGAAATCCCACAACCAGGCAGATGTGGGTCACAGTCAGCGGCTCCAGGCAGAACACGTAGGAAGGCACAAATCTGGACGCCATCTGTCCTTCGGGAACTCGGGGCTCGTGCGTAGTTTCCCATTTCCAGTTCCCTCCCCCAGATATGGCTTCACAGGTTTTCAAGCAAAGAACAGCTGTTTTCAGACACTGGTGAATAAGCTGTTTCCGCTGCTAAGGGACCCTCCGGGGAACTTCCAGTTGCTCAAGATGGTCAGTTTCAGCTAGGGAGATGCTCAACGCATGGAGGGCATGGAGGAGATCCAGGTTCTGTCCCCAGCACCACATAATCTCCCCACTCCAACAACAGGGAACCGTTTTTGTCCCCCACCTACACCCTCCAAATTGCCCCTTCAAGGTTTGAGCAAAGAATTTCTTTCACGTTTGGAAATCCTCCTCCTTCTGAACTGATGTCTCCTCTTCAGGTTATTGCAACTGCAAAGCGCACTGTAAGTCACTTGACAGAGGGGTGCCAAACAGGCCTGGCACCGTTTACTGCAGAACCACCCAGGAGGGGCATACGAATCTAGAAGATTCTCTTCTGTCCTGCTATCCTTTTCTGATAGAACTCAATTCCAGGTTCAATTTTCAAGGGAGAAATGGTTCAATGTTGCATGTCAGGTTAGCAAAGGAAGTGTCTGGAGTGGAGAACTGATGGGCTAGTAACTGGCCAGAAACTTCCACTTGAATCCCTTCTCTCCTGGTCTCCACCACTGCCACGTAGCACTGTAGCAGTGTCCATCGATTTTCTCAAGTGGGCACCAGTAACGTCTATTACGTCTATAGACGTCTATAACGTCTAATCACATTGAGCCATATCTTAACGTGAAACTATTAAAGCACTGCTTTGTTGTGTAAGCCGCTCTGACTTATTCTGCAGTCACTATGTGTCACAGTGTCACGGTCCTCCTGTTGTTCATCAATTTGCTCGAGCCTAGTAACATCTCCATTGTGAGACTTGTTGTTACTGTTTTTGGCATATCAAATATGTCACAGGTAGCTTGCCAGGCTTTGCCGTGCGGGCAGAATACTCTCAGTAGCTTGCCGGGCTCTCTGAGAGGGGTGGAGGAATCAAACCCAGGTCAGCCGCGTGTAAGGCAAATGCCCTACCCGCTATGCTATCGCTCCACCCCTGTTGATCTTTACAATTAAGTATAGAATTAATTAAAAATTTGCTCCATTACGATGCAAATTTTAAATTCAATTATGCCAGTAAGAGCCATTATTCTATCAGTATCATCTGTAAACAGCCTCTGTTATATCTTATTATCCTCTCTTGCCTAGAGGAAACTTATTCTGTAAAAGAAAAAAAAATGAGTCCCGAGAAATAGTGCAGCAGGTAGAAAACTTGCCTTGGACTGGACTAACCTGCATCTGTCTGGCACTACATATAATCCTGGAGCACTTCCAGGTATCATCACTCAGTACAGAACCAGGTGTAAGCCCTGAGCACCGTCAAGTGTGGTCCCAAAACCAAAAATCAAATTTTAATTAAAAATAAAAGATTAGAGCTGTTCACCTTATCAAGCACAATCTCCAGAGATACATCTATTTCAAATGTATAGGAATATCTTGTGAAATGGTTCTGGGAGCCTCCTTTTATACTCCCATCTGGGTGGAGCATCCGTGAGTTCTGGAGGGTGGCCGATGAAATTATCTGATGCCGGCAGGGTGTGGCTTATGGGTGTGATCCATGAGTCACTGAAGACTGGGGGAAGCAGGCAGAGGATTCAGACTGCCACCTAATGAAGATAAAAACACTGCAAATAGAAATGAGAAATACCCATCAGGAATATCTTCCTTGGTGGGATGGGGGGAGAGAGAGAGAGAGAGAGAGAGAGAGAGAGAGAGAGAGAGAGAGATGCACTTTTTATTTTTGTTTTGAGGTCACACCCAGCAATGCTACTCCTGACTTTGTAGCTATGGATCACTCCTGGTGCACCTCAGCACTCTGTGGGTTGCTGGGAATCAAGTCCAAGTCATCTATGTGCGAGGCCTGCCTGCTGTTCTATTGCTCTGCCACCTCAACCCATTCTGTGTGCTTGCTTTGCATGCAGGAACTCTGGGGTTTGATCCCCTGGCATTGCATAGTCCTTCTAAACTCGGCCAGCACTGACTCTCTGCCTGGTGACTTCTGCCCACCCCCCACCAAAGAACATTCTTCTCGTACTCACATGTATCTAGGCTGGTCAAAAATCTCCATTTGCCCATGACTATCTTGACTTTCAGCACTTAAAATCCTGTGTCCCACCATCCCCCACCCCAATCTCTTAGTCTCACACAGATCAGAACAGTTTGTTACCCTACATGTGTTCTAAAGGTTTTCAGTCTGTGCACTAGAATCCTCTTGAAACACTTGGTAAAACTGCAGATAAGTCTGTTCAAAATGAAATTATTGTGAACACAAAATGAGAGGTGGATGGAGTTTTTAGAAACCATTTAGTTAGAGGCTGAAGAAGCATTAGCCACTACTTTTAGGGACTCCCTAGTCCAGACATTTCTGTTCATGTTCGTAAACCATAATCACTGAAAGAAATGACACCCTTCCCAAGACACTGCCCAGGTTCCTACTCCAGAGCAGGCACTGACAAACACCTAGTTGTTGGGGGAGAGAGGGAAAAGGAAGGATTAAAAATAATAGAGTTGGGCCTTCTCACCTTTTTTTCCCAGTTCTAGCATAATTTTCCTTCTATATCACAACACATGACAGAGTGTTGTATAAACTCAATTTCATAAAGCAGCAATGTAGGCAAATTGACCAGTTAGCTGAGCTTGTATAAGCAATTATGTCAACAATATAGTAGCATACAACAATATAGTATATACTAACTTGTTTGTTTTTGGGGATTGCTTTTGGGTCACACCCTACAGTGCTCAGGGCTTCCTCCTAGCTGTGCTCTGAGGGAATTGACCCAGGGCTTATTTTTAAATCTATAGTGGCTGGAGCAATAGCACAGTGGTAGGGTGTTTGCCTTGCGCTTAGCCAGCCCGGCCAAGCCGGGTTCAATTCCTCCACCCCTCTTGGAGAGCCCAGCAAGCTACCGAGAGTATCTCGCCTGCACTGCAAAGCCTGGCAAGCTACCCATGATGTATTCAATATGCCAAACACAGTAACAAGTCTCACAATGGAGATGTTACTAGGCTCGAGCAAATTGATGAACAACGGGAGGACCGTGACACCGTGACACATAGTGACTGCAGAATAAGTCAGAGCGGCTTACACAACAAAGCGGTGCTTTAATAGTTTCATGTTAAGATGTGGCTCAATGTGATTGATGTTTTTCAAGACCCTAGATACAGCAGGGAAAAAACACTTGACATTTATTGTGTTCCTGTTAGGTTCCAATTCATGAAAAAATATTTTTTTTTTTAATTACAATTAAAAAATAACTGTAGTTGCCAAAGAGAACCTCTAGGGCTCTTGCTTTGCATGTGGTTGACCCAAGTTTGATCCCTCGCACCCAAAAGAGTCCCCTGAGACCTTCCAGGAGTGATTCCTGAGTGAGTAAAGCTGCCAATGGCCACCAAACCAAAGAAAAACAAAAAGCTACAGGTAATATGGTTACTCTAGTGTCAACATTTATAGCACTGATGTACAAAGTTACTATACCCCACCACCACCAAAGGGCCAACAACCCCCCCCCCCCCACCACCAATGTCCTTATGTCACCTCTTCATTCCTCCCATTCTGTTTTCCACTGCTTATAACTTCTGAGTTTTGTGATCCAAGGCAAAGGATTTGTCGTCATTAGATACTGTCTATTCCCTTGTTTTGTTTTTCCCTATTGTGCAGATGCGTGAGACCAGCCGCTACTTGTCCTTTCCCAGCGAATTTATTTCATTTAACACGATGCCCTTCAGATCCATCCACGTGGCAGTGAGCTGTAAGGATTTTTCTGTTTTCTTCTAAACTGTGCTAGATTCTCCAAACGCTTGTTCTCAATTCCATCTTCCAGTCATTGCTAAACTCATCCTACAAATAGGCAGATTCTTGCCCTAAATGACTCTCACATTCCTCGCGCGAACAGAATCTTAGGTGTGTTCCCTTAGCAGAGAGAGGAGCAAGGACATAAGGGGGCGTGGTCCCCAGCGCCGCCGTGATCCGGGGATGCATGGGGCGCCCAAAGGAGGCGCATCTTTCATCCTCCATCCTTCATCCTTCATCCTTCATCTGTGGCCTTGAGCCTAAAGTACAAGTCCTTTTGGGTACCACTTAAACCTCCCCAAATCTTGTCCTTTTCGCTAGTCCCGCCAGGCCCCTATTCAAAGACGTTGGTGATTGGAGAGACTGTGGTCTACTTCGAAGGTGTGCGGCGGAGGAACGTCCCGCGGGACCTCAGTCGCCCATCCTGGGAACCTTCAGCGCCTAGGCCCCTCCGGAGCGGGGAGCGCGGGGCTGCCCGGACGCTGGGAGAGGGCACCGGAAGCGACGGCGGCCGCTGGCAGGAAGTGCCCAGTGCTGCCGCCTGTGATTGGTCGTTGCTGGTGCCCCACTCTTAAGGTTCCCCGGAGCGTTGGCGGCCGAACCGGAAGTGGGCTCCGCGGCGGGGCTGTGGCTCTATTGGTACGTTTGGGTCCCGCGCGGGTGCCGACTGTCCAGTTTCAGCAGCGCCGGAGGCTCTGATTTGAAGTCTCTTGCGACGACCTCTCTGCGTGACCTCCAGGACCTCGTCGCAGGCTCCCTGGAGGAGGGTCCGAGTGTGCCCAGCTGCTCGGGGCTGCGGGGCTGCAGCCGCGGTGAGCGGGAGGGGGGCGTGGGCAGGTGCCAAGTGACCGGACGATTCCTAAGCGAGTTCTGAAAATTGCATAAAATGGGGGAATCGAAGTGATGATTGCTCTTCTAAGTTTTCATCTAGGTCAGGAAGCCTTGGGTGGGGTGAGGGGGGCGGGTTACAGGTTGCGGGGAAGACCCGCAGCAGCAGCGGGTCTGCGGGTGGGGCGCGGGAATCTGCACGGGCAGCGGCTGTTCCGCTTCTCTGTTGAGAAGAGACGGAGGGTGAGTATCGCCCTAGCCCAGCCCGAAGGCTGAGGCTCATCCCTGTAAAGCTTTTAAGGCCTCAGTCGAGAGCCAGTGCCCAAGGAGCGCCGTGGAACTTCACCCAGGGCCACGTGAGTTGGCTTTGAATCCTACCACGACCTCTTTTGGGGGCGGAGGGCTGCTTCCCTTCGCTACCCCTCCTGTTTAGTGAGAATCATTATAATTATCTCCTGGGAAAATTTATCCAACCTGCCAGGTCAATTCTATTCCATCAGAGGGTCTGGGAGTCTGTGAGCTAAACAGACTTTACAATGAGCGCATTGGTATCCAGCTTTTCATGCAGGAGGCACAGTCACCTAACCAGAAGTAGCTCCTGAGCACTACCAGGTGTGACCTGGAAACCTAAATATATGCTTACAATAAAATGCGCTTATTTAGCTTGAGAATTTGAGAATGGAGTATAATAGTGGGGAAGGGGGAAAGTGATTACCACGGAGGCAGGCTGTGGGGGCAGGGGCGGGAGGGAAACTGGGGACATTGGTGGAGGGTAGTGGACACTGGGGAAGGGATTGGAGTTGGAACCGTGGGTGCCTGAAACTCAATTAGAAATATCTTTGTAGGGGCTGGAGCAATAGCACAGCGGGTAGGGCGTTTGCCTTGCATGCGGCCAACCCGGGTTCGATTCCCAGCATCCCATATGGTTCCCTGAGCAACATCAGGGGTAATTCCTGAGTGCAGAGCCAGGAGTAACCCCTGTGCATCGCTGGGTGTGACCCAAAAAAGCAAAAAAGAAAAGAAAAGAAATATCTTTGTAATTCACAGAAATTCAGCTTTAAAAAATAAAATTAAAAATAGAGAAAAGAAAATAATGGCATACAGGATCAGAACACGTGTCATCTGAATCTTTCTGTATTTTTGTCTTTGTACATGGCTTTCGTCTTTGTACAGGAGCTGGAGCAATAGCACAGCAGGTAGGGTGTTTGCCTTGCATGCAGCTGACCCAGGTTCGATTCCCAGCATCCCAAATGGTCCCCCAAGCACCACCAGGAGTAATTTCTGAGCTCATGAGTCAGGAGTAACCCCTGTGCATCGCCGGGTATGACCCCCCTCCCCCCAAAAGAAATTTAGTCTTTGTACATGGCTCTGTGTTTTCTCTTGAGCTAAACTTTTATCGACCATTATACAGTGGAATTTTCCTGGGACTGATTACTGGAACTAAATACCTAATAACGATTTCCTGAGTGACTTCTGATTAGCTGCTGGTCCCCGTGTACCTGTTTACCTTTATCCTGTACATCAGCATTTCTCAGCTAGGAACCCTAGGCTCTCTAGAGGCTCCTGGGATAGTTGAAAGGGGTAACAGGTGGAAAATTGCATAAAATGGGGGATGTCTCACAATAGGGGTGTAGGGACCTACTTGTAGGACAGGGAGGCCACAGGAAGAAAGCAGAGTCAGAAGGGGTGCCTGTTGGAGAAGTGTTGAGAAACATTGACCTAATTGTTCTAAAGACCAATACCGGTGTCCACTGATATTTCACTGGTGAGGGACCTGGGTAGTTTAAACAACCAGGGAAAATTGATGCAATCAGTGATACTGGAATAACAGAAAAGGGCTTGGAAACTGAATCTAAGCCGGTTTCCCAGTGTCTGTGTACGTGAAGGAATATTACAGTATCCTGTAATAAGAGTTACAGGGATTCTAGTTCAGAGGTTTCTGAGCATGCGCTCTTGTAAATGAAACAAGAGGAACCCATTAGGATTGTAGGATAAACGACAGACCCAGCAGCCCTTAGTGACTTAGCAGGCTTTTTCTTGAGGTATGATGTCAGCAGTGGGGTTTATTTAGAAGCCACTGTCATTACTGTCAAGCCATCTGCTCTGCTAGAAAGAATCACCGCCTCTTAGCCTAAGCTTGCACAACCTAATGGAATCTTCTGTTTGTTGGTTTGAACAGGTTCCACGATGTGCTTTCAGTCAGGCATCATGAAGCCTTCTGCGAGCTAAGAGAAGAAGGAACCGTGGTCAATATGGAGGACAAAAGACGGCGAGCCCGGGTGCAGGGGGCCTGGGCTGGCCCAGCGAAAGGCCACGCCCCGGCTCCAACAGGCAGGGCCCTGCAGGGAGCTTCGAGGGACGGTCTGGAAGGTATGTAGGAATGGCTACCACCTCGGACTCACGTCGTTCAGTTTGGGCTGTTTCAGCAGATGCGAAGGGATTGAACTGGGGCTGGTGTGATATCTGATGTCGTAGCTGGGCTGAAGGTCGCTCTCTTGTGTCACTCCTTGTCTCTGGGCCATCCAGTGGGCTTCATTCACCTCCGGTGGTCACATAGCATGTTCCCGAGTGGGTCTGGCTGGCCCTTGCCCGGTGGAAGACGAGGAGCACGTGGTCGTGTGCTCAGCCTGTCCTGTCTTTGCTCTCGTTTCAGACTCCATCGAGAAGAGTGCTTCCCGCCAGAAGCCTGGCCTGACCTGGGCGAACAAGGAGCCTCATCTGGGCGACAGGCAGTTCCTGTTCACAGAGCCCCAGCAGGTAGTTGCCTCTGTCTCCTTGACACCACTATCAAATAAAGTCCTTAATGAGGGGCTGGAGTAGGTAGGGCGCTTGCCTTGCACATAGCCGACCCAGGTTCCATCCCTGGAATTCCTGTATGGTCCCCCAAGCACCACCAGGAGTAATTCTTGAGGTCAGAGACAGGAATAAGCCCTGAGTATCACTGGGTATGACTCAAAAGTCCAAAATAAATACATAAATCAGTAAATAAAGCCTCTAATGAAAGGCGAGTACTAGAGTACCACCCCCTGGAGTGTGGTTCCAGAGTGTATCTAACGAGTCTTCTCTGATGCCCGCCCCATTTACACGCAGACATCATCCCTTTGTCATGGCCGGCAGCTGGGAGCCTGGATGGAGGCGAGAGGTATCACTGGAATCAGAGCTTAGACCTGGTTATCTCGACTCTGACAGGGCTAGACAGTGCTGGTGTCTGTGCTAGAGCAACAGAAGCCTCTAGAATTGAATTGAAATCTCAGCTATTGCAATCCCTACATTTTGGGAGTGGTGGGCAGGAGGTACATGCTGCCACCCACTTGGTGGTCAAGGGGCCAGGGCCCACTCCCAGTTGGTCCTTGGCCAACCAGACTGAACAATGCTCAGACCCAGTGATACAGGCTACTTGGGCTGGACCAAGCCAGGGGCCACCAGAACCACACCTGGCAGTGTTTGGCATCCCCTTGACTTGTTCCCCCCATGGGGCTCAGGATAAAGCACCTGATTTTTAAATCCCCTGCCCAAACCCGTGTAAAAAAAATGTAAGAAACCATAAAGAGTCATTTTCTAATAAGCCACTCCAAAAAGTTAAATATCCAGTGTTTTGCTGTGGTCACAAATGAATAAAGGCCCCCATTTCATATCATTTCTTTTTCTGTGTCATCTCCTGGGAAGGTTGGGAAACTCGGTTATTCCCAATTTTCTCTTTTCCTGTCACTTGGCAGGAGACCTAGTTTCTGGTGGGATAATGACAGACTGGAATGAGAAAGGGTAGCTTGGGGCTGAAGCGATAGTACAGCAGGTAGCATGCTTGCCTTGCATGTGGCCAACCCAGGATTGATTCCCAGCACCCCGTATATGGTTCCCCAGTTCCTCTCCAGAAATGGTCCCTGAGTGCAGAGTCAGGAGTAAGCACTGGGCATAGCAGTCTGTAGCCCAGAAGCCAAAAGAAAAATGTTAATTTAAGAACATAGGGGCTGGAGAGATGGTACAGCGTGCAGGGCATTTGCCTTGCACGCATCTGACCCAGGTTTGATCCCTGAAACCTTGTATGGTCCCTTGGGGCCCTGCCGGGAGTGATGCCTGAGCACAGAACCAGGAGTAAACCTCGAGCAACACCAGGTGTGACCCTCCAAAATAAATACATAAAAAAATACAATGAAACGGAAAATATTCTGGTGGCCATAGCACAGCGGGTAGGGCACTTGCCTTACACTTTGACTGTCCCGGGTTCCCTCCCCAGCATCCCATATGGTCCCCTGAGCACCGCCAGGAGTGATCCCTGAGCATCACAGGGTGTGGCTTGAAAACAGAAACAAATTCAATAACCCCAATAGCCCTGGCTTCCTTTGGCTAGAAATAAGAGGCCCTGGGAGCCTGTCCACTAATCCCCAGGGCTGAGGAATCATGCCTCCCTCCTTGCAGGTCGCCCGCCGGGTCCCAGAGCCGCGCGTCATTGAGTAAGTACCGGATGATGCGCCGCCTTTGCTCAGCCATGGCACATGGGCCAGTGGCGGGCCGGGCCAGTGAAGGTCCTGACCGAGTCTGGAGCATTCCCCTCCCAGATGTCTATAAGCCACTGGTGTGGGAAAGGCCACAGCAAGAACCTCTGCACATTAAACTTGGGCCTCTGGTGGCTGGTGGAGATTGCCTCACCGCTTATGTCTCTGCAGATGGAAATCAAACATCTCTGCCAGGGCAAGCAGGGGAATTTCTCCCAACTCCCTGAAACGTGGCTCTTCGAGAAACTTTAGACTCCATGACTAGCAGTGGTATAATGTTAAGAAGCAGGTGGTGTGACCAGAGACATTCCTTTCCTACTGCTCTGTGTGTGAAATGTTCCTTTTCTTTTCTTTTTCTTCTTTTTTTTTTTTTTGCCGCGTCCAGCAATGCTCAGGGGTGACTCTTGGCTCTGCACTTAGGAACCTCTCCTGTCGATGCTCAGGGGACCATACGAGATGCCAAGGATCAAATCCAAGTTGGCCACGTGCAAGGCAATTGCCAAACCCGCTGTACTATCGCCATGGCCCTGAAATGTTCCTTTTTATTTTATTTATTTATTTTTATGTAAGAGTACTGCTATTTATTCAGCCACTGACTAGGCTGATTGAATTGTGCATGTGAAATGTTCCTTTTTAAACAAACAAGTCGGGACCATCGCCAACCCGGCTTCAATGCCCGTCATCCCACATGGCCCCCAAAGCCCTGCCAGGAGTGATTCCTGACTGCACAACCAGGCGTAAGCCCTGAACAACACTGGATGTGGTCCCACAATCAAAACACAAAACCAAGCAGCCTGTTTTGGGGCCATGCTTTGTGATGCTCAGGGCTTATTCCTGGCTCTGCACTCAGCAGTTACTCCTGGCAGTGAGCAGGGAACCCGTTGGGATGTAGAGATCAAACCCAGGTCGGCTGTGTGCAAGGCAAGCATCCTGAGCCTCTCAGACTGTAAAACAAGGCCGTGACCAATTTGCAAGTCAAAGTCAAGTGACAGAACTGATATCACTGGAGCCCGGTACCAGAAGCTTTGACTCTTCACAGTTCTCCATTTCCGGCAGATGTCAGTTGCTTATTGAAAGTTTCCCTTTTACACAAGCCTGGCAAGCGACCCGTGATGTATTCGATATGCCAAACACAGTAACAACAAAGTCTCCAATGGAGACATTACTGGGCCCGCTCGAGCAAATCGATGAACAACGGGAGGACAGTGACAGTGACAGTGAGGTGACGTTGGTTCCCAAGCATGTAAAAAGTTTATGTTTCAGGAGTATGAAGTTACCACAATGTATCTGCTACCAAAGCGCCAAGAGCCTCCATCAGGGCTTTCAGGCCTCCTGTCCCCACAGTTTTGTGGTCATAGTCCCGGGGGTTTGTTTTCAGGGGTCACTGTCAGTTCCCCTGCTCTGTGAGAGCATGTTCATTCCCACACACATCTGGTTTGAATGTTGGCGTCATCCACCGACAGTCAGGCTTCTTAGAGCTTTGCAGGTTGGCTTGTCCATCTTGGCAAAATCCAAAACTAGTTTGACACAGATGTTACCATATTTTCAAAAGGTGTGTATCGGCCCAGAGCCGTACTTGGCACGCAGGCGGCCGGGGTGTGAGTCCCAGCGTCCCGTATGGTCCCCGAGCCTGCCAGGAGTCAGCCCTGAGCACCACTGGGTGTGTGGCTGTGACCAGGGCCTCCCCGCTATGACACTAGTGCTGAGGTCAAGGCCATGGCTGTTGCCTGCTCTGTGAACCTTTGATCCCTTGTCTGTGCTGTTGGTACATTATCATTGCTGAAAGCCCTCCCGGGTAGCCTCTTCTGCAGATACTCACGTGATGTCACTTCCATTTGGTGATAAGGAGAAAAAGTAAAGCCCGGAAATCCTTCATAGGTACAGATGAGCCTCTTAGACTATAAAACAAGGCCATGACCAATTTGCAAGTCAAAGTCAAGTGATAGAACTGATGTTGTTTGGCCCCCGGCGTTCACTGATTCTGGCTACGTGAAGTTAGTTGTGGTAGCCGGATTTGGGAGTCATCCTTAGCAGTGCTCCTGGAGCTGGGACACTTAGTGCTGGGAATCAAACCCAGGGCCTCATGCGTGTAAGGCCTGCGCTCTACCCCCGAGCCACATTCTAGGCTTCCTGTGCCAGATTGGGTCTTTTTCAGAAATATCAGGCATGGTGTTAGAAGATGAAATGACCCGGGTCGTAACTCTGGTTCCACTTACATCACATTAGGATGCAGTAGTTGCGCTTGTGGACATTTAGAAGGGTGACATAGACGTAACAAGGACTCTGCAGAGAGGTTCCCAGTCCCCTCTAGGGTGGCATATGACAGAGGACTTTGTGAATGATGGTAGTAGCCCATATAGTCCTCCAGGCTTAGGTCTCTGAGAAGCTCCCTGGAGGCTCCGAGCCCATCCGGGTCCTTCTCGTCACCCCGTACACCTGCCCATTTGATAGGGTTCAGTAGGAGTTTATTTTCTGTTTACTGTGAGCGGAGAACTGGGAGGTAGAGTGACCTCAGGAGTCGCTGAATGAGAGAATGAAATGGATAGGGAATGGGAGGCATCAGTAGTAATCCTGGTGTCAGAGGACAGTCAGCTAGTCCGAGGGCTCCCGGTGGGCAGGCATGCAGGGGTTAACAGCAGCTGGGTGAACTGAAGGTTGGGGAAGGTTCACAGAAGGTGCTGAGCTGAGATTTTTATTTTATGGCAGGGGAGGGGTTGCACACCCGGCAGTGCTGAGGCCTGACTCCTGGCTCTCTGCTCAGGCATCACTCCTGACAGGGCTCAGGACCAGATGGGGTTCCAGGGATCAAACCTGTGTCATCTGTGTGCAAGGCAAGGGCCCTACCTGCTGTACTCTCTCTCTGGCCCCCTAAGCTGAGACGTTTCTGTTTGTGCTGTAGAGCCTTGGCTTTTGGTTCTGTTTGGGGGCCACAGACAGCATTGCTCATGTTCTTTCTCCTGGCTCTGACCTCAGGCATCACTCCTGACAGGGCTCAGGGGGCCAGGGCTTGAACCTGGGTTGGCTGCCTGCAGGGCAAAGCACCTGAACGGCTGTACTCTCTCTTGAGTGTGACAGTTTTTTTTAAATGATCTATAATTTTTAGGTTTGGGAGTCATAGCCATGAATACTCAAGGGCTATTTCTGGCTCGCTCTGGAGTGACTCCCGGTAGCACTGAGGGACCATGTGCGGTGCCTGGGGTCAAACTGTGCTGGCCATGCACCTTACCTTCTGCGTTATCTCTCCGGCCCCCTCCACGGGAATTTTGAAGGATAAGGATGAATTGGAGTTTTCCACTAGACCAAAGCTGGTGATAGGTGTTGAGGGTGGTATGTGCGTGTGTGTGTGTGTGTGTGTGTGTGTGTGTGTGTGTGTGTGTGTGTTGTGGAAGGGTGGGAGGTCGCATTTCAATGTAGGGAGAAGCACAGGGTTGAAGCGTCAGGGTGAGTTCAGCTGACACCAGGCAGAGTGATGAATTGGTCTGAGTAGATCACGGAACCTGGTGGTCTACAGTGTTGAAAAGCTGGAGGAGAACCTTCCTTTCTTTATTCATTTATTTGTCTGGCTTGTCATTTTATTTATTTATTAATTTTACAAAGTTCTCCATGATTTGTTACAGACCTTCAATATTCCAACACCAATCCCACCACCGTTGCACCTTCCTACCACCATTTTTCCCAGCCACCGTCTTTCCAATTTTCTCAACAACCCCTTAAGTCTACCCCTATATCAGGCCCTCAATAATTTTATATTGCATGTCATAAATAATGTGCTAAAGGAATGATCTTTCTTTAGAAGAAAGTCAGTGAAGATTGTTGGAGCTCACCATGGTGAGCCATTAAGTCCTTGTGTAAGAGATTGCTAGGATGTTACAGGTTAGTCCTTCTGTGTTGATACTTTGTTCATGGGGATTGGTCACCTTCTACATCACATCCCATCCAATCTGGTGTGCTACTCCAGGTTTATCAGTGTTGTGGCGATGATGCTCCGGAAAGTTCAGAATTTTTAACAGAGTGATGCAGCTGGAGTTAAATTTTTAACTGGGTGGTTGCTTTGGGGCTCATGTGTGACTGCCGGGGCTCCCAGAAGAACAGTGAGGTGGGAGGAGGTAGCCCATCCCTGACTCTGTGAAAGCCCGGAGATTTCAGTCACAAAACCTGCATACCTGAATTTTTCAGCTGGTTAAGTCTGACTGTGAGCATGGCAGCGATTGTGGAGTGTGGAGTTTTTGGCTGCCAAGGCTCTGTTTGGGTGGGTGCCAGGCTCACCCAGCCCGGAGGGGAGCCTTTAAAGAACTTTAGCCAGACCGGGGGAAGGCACAGAGGACTTGTGTATGTGTTTCGTGTGCTGGAGGCCTGGGTCCAGTCCCAGTACCCCAGGGCCCTTTGGGGTAGACCAGGAGCATCCTGCTGGCTCTGGGCCAGAAGCTGCCCCTGAGCACTGTCCCCTGTAGCCCCCAAAACAAGAATTTTCATCAAGGCCAGAGAGCTGGTACAGGGGTTTCGGTTCTTGCCCTGTACATCTGACACCTCTGTTCACTCCTTGGCTGCACATGCATGCCTCCGAATCTTCCAGGAGTTATCCCTGAGCACCGCCGGGTGTAGCCCAAAATTTGTGCAAGGGATGTAGGTCAGTGGAAGAGCTCCGTCGGGTACCTCAGTGGGAGAGCCAAGCTCAGTGACCCTGCCTGAGTCCTGGATCCCAGTGGCAGGGGGTGGGCTCAGGGACCCTTACTCTCCAGTGGTCCAGCACAGGCCTGCGTCTGGGTGGAGTGTGTGCTGTGGCCTGCCATGAACCATTGTCTTTTCTTTGTCTCTGCAGCAAAGCGGGTGTGTATGACATCAGCCTGGCGCCGACAGGTGTGTCCAGGTAAGTGGCTCCTCCCTAGGAAGTGATGGGGATGTTCAAGAGTGAGAGTCTCCCAGAACATTCTGCTCCCCTCCTAGAAGTGGATACCTTATGTTCCTCCCCGAGGCGGATGAATTCTGTGGCCTTTCTAGCTTCCAGACTTTTCCAGGGCCTCTCTGTGAGGTAGCAGTGGTGCTATTAGCTCAGTGGTTCCTGAGAGGCTTTCCACTAGTGCTCCATAGTTAATATAGATTATGTTACATGTAATACTGCAGATGGGTTGGTGAGATGCTAAGTATAGCAACAAGTTTTATTGCCACCTCAGGACTAACTTATTTTAGTAGGGATTAAGCTTTAATCTTGATTTTAAAAGCACTTTGAAATCATTTTTTTTGTTGTTTGTTTTGGTGGCAGGGATTGAACTCAAATCCTTCTATCTGTGAGGCAAGCCTTATACTGAACTACACTGCCTGGGCCCTAAAACATCACTCTGTAGCCTCTGAATATACTCATTGTCCATAAGAGATAAAGAAACGCCCCTAAATATATCAGAACTTATGTGTCTAAGGGACATCTGTTGAACTTGCAAGGTGGCATTGCCATTGCTCTCATCCTTTTCGGAGCATCACCCTGAAAGATGTCTCACAGTCACACAGGAAAGCCAGGCATGGTGTCATTGTCCCATCTCCACGGCAGCTGGGCATGATTTCCGCTGAGCTCTGACAGCATCGGGGTCCCTACAGGGACAGGATGCTCGGCCATCAGGCCTGCTTCAGAAAGTGCCCCGTGGGGGAGCAGGACATTTACCGGGAGCGAACTTCCAGAAGGACCCTGGATGGTTGTTGCAGTAAACCCATATTCCTGAGAGGAGCACCCTTTATTTGGCCAGTTACTGTGCTCTCGCGCTTTCCTTTACAAGAGGCAGTATTCAGCAGACTGCCGACTCTCGAACGACACAGAAATAACACAGGGACACGCATTTCATTAAGGTTTCGGCTGTTCTCACGCATCGCATTGGGGAGACCAAGAGAACCAAGGTCTCCCTCCCCGTCCTAACCTCAGAGCCGTTCCTGGGGCTGTTTCTCAGCCTCTTTTCACCCCTACTTCGGACCTTACCCGTTGGCCCCCTGGTCTTGTGCTGTGGCCCCACTGTGCCACGCGCCCTTGGGGATCCACAGGGAAGCCTGGTAGCCCCAGGTGGGTTTCAGATCCACTTGTCCGGGAGATGCCCACAAAGCGGTTCCCAGATGGCCGTGTCTGCCGTGGGACAGAGTCAGAGGCAGCTGCCCATGGCCACAGCTCATGCCCGTTCTTTACCTGCCAAGGGTGTCCTTGTACCCGGGCTTTGTGGCCGTGGAAGAAGCTGACCGCGCGCTGGAGCAGCTCTGCCGAGACGTCCCGTGGCAGCAGAGAACTGGCATCCGCGAACGTGAGTGGCCTGGGGGGTGCGCCCAGCGCTGCCCATTCTCACTGTCCCGAGTGTTTCCTTCTAACACCCCTGCCCGGCCAGTCCCCCCGACCCAGCCTCTCAGGGTCAGGCTGGAGAGCCTGCAGGGGCACGGGCCTGGGATCATGTTTTCTGGGTTCCTGTCAGAGGGGGCCTGGCGGGAGTGTGGGCATGGGGGGGCGGGTCAGGGAACCAAAGCCAGTGTGAGTGGGCGGGATGGGGGCGACCATCTTCCCCTCCATTTGGTCTCTTCTCGCCTTCCTGAATTCAAAGGATCCCAGCCTTCCTCTTCCTTCATAGAAACTGCCAGCGCTTCCTTTTCCGGGTCCTGTTGGGCATGTATTCTGCCCAGGTCCTTCTTACCGGCTTTTTTTTTTTTTTTTTTTTTTGCTTTTTGGGTCACACCCAGCAATGCTCAGGGGTCACTCCTGGCTCTGCACTCAGAAATTACTCCTGGCGGTGCTTGGGGGACCATATGGGATGCCGGGGATCGAACCCAGGTCGGTCGCGTTCAAGGCAAACGCCCTCCGCGCTGTGCTATCACTCTGGTCCCCTCTTACCGGCTTTTGACTCTCCTTGTAGTTGTCCTCGCTGTGCCTTGGTCCCCTTTGCCCTCCTCAGCCCCCTGGCTCCCCGGAGCTTGTGGAAATGACTCAACCATGTGGGGAGGCTCTGCAAGCAACAGTGCCTGCTGTCCCACTGGTGGCCTCTGGAGGGCGCTAGTGCTCCACGGAGAATTCCCATCCAGGCCTAGGAAATGCGTTTGCGTGAGGCACAGCGCATACTGGTGGCATTTTTGTGACTCAGCCATCAGAACGGGAGTCAGCTTTTCCAGGGCACCTTCTGTCAGCTTCTGGCGGCCCCTGCAGCAGTTTCTTTGGGGAGTGGACTTGCCTTTCATGACCGGTTTGGTCATTCAGTACAAAGTCATGGTGATCATTTTTTTCCCCCTACCACTGAGCCACTGCTCTGATCCCAGTAATTGTTTATTTTAAGCGAATTACAGGATACTTCCTCTAATCCTTGGTTATTTGATCTGGAAAGTGGAGCTAGTAATAAGAATAACCTTCCATATAAGATTGTGGTACTGAGGTCATGCAAAATATTAATATCTGCTTAAAAGGGGGTCAGAGCAATAGCAAAGTGGATAAGGTGCTTGCTTGCCTTGCATGTGGCTGACCTGAGCTTGACCCCATATGCTTCCCCCTGGCCCCGCCAGGAGTGATCCCCGAGTGCAGAGCCAGGAGAAGGCCCTTGAGCACCACCAGGGGTGGCCCCCAAACCAAAAAAGAATAGATAAAAATCTGCTTAGCAGAGTTTTGGCACATTGGAAGCGATCAGCTGGTGTCAGCCACTTTCATTGCTCTGACTGTGAGGCTGTGGAAGCAGGTCTGGAGATCAAGCCCTCTCCAAATAGGATGCAGTTCCTCAGTGCCTTCTGCTCCACTTGACCAGGCCACGTCTCTCTTCACCGGGCACCCGAAGGGTTGACCCAAGGCCAGCATGTGTGAGCGGCCTCTTGGCTTCCCCATGCGGACGCTGCTGCCACGTTCTTGCTTGAAATGCTCCAGGCGCTGCATCCCAACCCCCTGCAGGCTGGTGCCCCTCTCCTGCTCTGTTGTCTCAGAGGCAAGTGGGCAGCGCACCCGCTCCCCTCCCTGGCCGCTGCCCTCGTGCTTCTCCCGCCTGACCCCTTCCTCCTAGCTGTCCCCCTGAAGTCCTGCTCCCGAGGGCCCGTGTCTCCGGGTGGCCCCCAGGTGCTCTGGACTCTGTATCTGTGCCCATCACAGCAGGAAGCGGTTCCAAGGCCCCGTGTTCTCTTTCTCAGATGTGACTTACCAGCAGCCAAGACTCACGGCATGGTATGGAGAGCTTCCGTACACGTACTCGAGAATCACTCTGGAACCCAATCCGCACGTACGTTGCACACGGTGGGCATGGTTTTGGGGCGTGTGGAGTGCTCTCGGAGTAGCTGCGGGCTGCACTGGGGAGCTGCCTGAGGGCTCCTCGCTCTCCACCAGAAAAGGAAAAGAACAAGAAAATCCTCTGGGTTCGGATGCGGAGTCTCTGCTTTGGATGCGGAGAGGAACTCTGAGGGTGCCGGGGAACTCCTGGGCATGACCACTCTGGGGCCCAGCCCCAGGGGTGCAGGGAGTGCCTGTGCCCGCCCCCCACCGACACCACCCCTCCCCCCGTGTTCCGGGCCCTTCTGTGTGCCCCCCACCCCATCACTGCCCCATGCCGTGTGCCCTATTTCTGCTGCTCCTTTTGTTTGTAAAAATTTCCATGACAGTAGACAAAAGAAATTCCAGTATATTAATCCGACTTGTCAGGAGGATGGAGTTCAGGTCCAAGAAATAGCTCCCTGTTTAGTCTCTGGAATCTTGCCTTTGGCCAGTGGTGCTGGGCTCGATCGAGGGCGACAGGGGGAAATGGGAGCTTTGCTTATGGCATTGAGAGGAACAGCAGTAGGACACAGTTTTACAGCTTCTGGTAATTTCTCTCGTGCCTTGCGACTTCCCTCAAAAGGTGGAGGGGCAGACCCCCCACTCGGGAGGGCAGCATCTGGCTCTTGCCTGTACAGAGATCGGGTGGTGTGCGGTGGTTTTCGAGACTGGTCTGAGAATGCTAGGGGGAAGGGGGGGGCTTTTCCCTCAGCTCTCCCCTGAGACCTTCCTGCCGGCAGTCGGCGCAGCCAAGTGGAGGATCAAACCGGACGTGGAGAAGTTCTCCTTTGTTCTGGTTTCTTTTCAAGTCAGATTTTTCAGTCCTGCCTGGCAGTGGTGACAGGTAGGGCCGGGTGTTCTGTGGTCGTGGCTGTCCTGTGCGTTGTAGGATCATCAGGGGTCTCCATGGTTTCTGCTCTGAGGGGTCAGTGTGTCGCCTCCTCCCTCCCCCCAGTGGCTCTAGGCTCTGCCAAACTTCTGCCGCAGTGGGGATGCACTTGAACCCCTGGACAGCCGGTGTCTCAGAATATACCCGCGGTGCCTAGGATGCACTACTGCAGGGCCTCCCTGCTCTGGGGACCTTCTGAGCACCCTCCAAAGGGATTTTCATGAGAAACCATTGGTTACCATGGTCATGTGTGTGCCATTGAAGATTTGGAAATGGCAGAACTTTAAAAATGAGCCCAAGGGTTAAGGCGTTGCCTTCCACACAGCTGGCAGCAGCTTGATCTCTGGCACCACATGTGGTCTGCCAGGCACCACCAGGAGTGATCCCTGAGCACAGACCACAAATAAGCCCAAGCTGGAGCCATAGTATAGTGGGGAGGGCGTTTGCATGAGGCTGACCGGGATTTGGTCCTCAGCACCCAGCCTGGTCCTCTGAGCACCGCCAGGGGTAATTCCCAAGGACGGAGCCAGAAATGACCCCTGAGTATGCCCGGGTATGGCCAAATAAAAAAGAATACGCCTAGAGCATTGCCAGGTGTGGCTCTCAAGCCAAAATATTAAAATTAAATACTGAGATAATTTTGAGATAATTCTACCTGATGTTATAGCTCCAAGTTTCATCTTTCAAAAACTTCATCAAATATATGTTGAGAACTTTTCTACAAAAACAAAATCAGGGACTGGAGCGATAGTACAGCGGGTATGGCACTTGCACACGGCCGACCCAGGTTCGATTCCCAGCATCCCATATGGTTCCCCAAGCACCGCCAGGAGTAATTCCTGAGTGCAGAGCCAGGAGTAACCCCTGAGCACTGCCGGGTGTGACCCAAAAAAACAAAAACCAAACCAAAACAACAAAAAAAAAACAATCGAGGAGTCGGGAGATAGCACAAAGGGCCGCGGCACATCCTTTGCGTGCAGGAGCCCAGGACGATGGTCCCTGAGCCAGGAGTGGCCCCGCAGCTCTGCTTGGAGCAGACAAGGGCCCAGCAGCTGGGACGTGACTGGGGCCACGGGGATGGGAGCAGAGCTCAGTGCTGGCGCTGTGCTCCAGAGTGGCCCCTAGGTGGCGCTCGGGAGCCCAACAGGATTCGAATAGGTGCCAAGGCCACTGTGGTGTCATGCAGAGCCAGGGCCTCAGTGCCTGTGCGCTGTCTCTCCTGCCACTGGGGGTCAGGGAGATTGGGGGTGCACGTGTTTTGAATGTGAGAGGCTGGGTTTGATCCCCAGCACCTCATGGTTTGGCCAGAATCCCCCAAAAGCTCTGTAGTAGACACTGCCTTGCATTTAAAGGCATGGACACTTCCGGGGTCTTATCAGTGTTCATGGCGGCACGTCTGCTCACACTGTGCTTCATAGTTGGCGTTTACTATGGATGCCATTCAGGCCGAGTTTGGGGTTTTTTGGGGAGCCATCACTACCAAATAAACATTGCTGTATGGGCTAGAGCGATAGCACAGCGGGTAGGATGTTTACCTTGCATGTGGCCAACCCGGGTTTGATTCCTCCGTCCCTCTCTAAGAGCCCGGCAAGCTACCAAGAGTATCCTGTCTACACTGCAAGGCCTGGCAAGCTCCCCCTGGCGGACTCAATATGCCAAACACAGTAACAACAAGTCTCACAATAGAGACGTTACTGGTGCCCGCTTGAGCAAATCGATGAACAACGGGAAGACAGTGCTACAGTGCTCTACATGCCCACAGCTCACACACAGACAAGCTTTAGAGAGTGGCCTTTGAGCCTGAGAGAGGAACAGCGCCTTGACTCCACGCCACGTGAAGAGGTGCTCAGGGCTTGCTCTGGACTCTGCACTCAGGGATCACTCTTGGTGGTGCCCTGGCGGTGCTTTGGGGACCATGAGGGATGCCGGGGATCAAACCCGGGTCAGCCTTATGCAAGGCAAATACCCTCCCTGCCGTACTATAGCTCAGGCCCAGGCAAAGTTTTCTTTAACTCAGATGTTAAGGGTGTCCAAAGAAATATGGGGGGTGGGCGAACATCCACCCGAGCTCAGGACTCCCTCCTGGCGGGGCTCAGGAGCCAGACAGGGTGCCGGGGATGGGATCCAAATCAGCCTAGCGCGAGACCAGCACCCTCCTCCTCCTCCTCCTGACTTCCCAGCCAGGGATCGGGACTCTCTTGATTTGAATTCGCTGACCCAGAACTTTCTGGCCAGGGGGGTTAGTTCCAAGTCTGTTGTGAATGAAGGCAGAACTGCGCCTCTCTCTGAGGCGTGTCTGTGCTGGGTCTGGGTGTGACAGTGTTTAAATTGTCACCACCTCAAGCTCACTCTCCCTTCAGTCACACTCTCCAACTCCTTCTAGTCTTTTCCTTTCCTCTGTGAGAGACCCTCCCAGGCAGTGCTCCGGGGACCTCAGGCGCCCTGCCTGGTGGTTCTTGGTCCACCAGGCTGTTTCTTGGGCGGTGCTGGGGGCCCAATGTGGTGCCAGGGATTGAACCCGGGTCTGGCATGTGCAGGGCGTTACCCTAGCCCCAGTACTTGCCTCCAATCTCTAGTCTTTTTTTAAATTTTTTAACTGACTCTTTCTTGAACTCAGTTTAAGAAGGCGCAAGGGGGCACCCATGGCTTCATTTCCAGCCACCCCGGAGTCCCCTCTGTGATGCCCAGGACAGAATGTTCTGGACACCCACTGACTAGGAGCTCTTGTGTTCTTCGCTCTGCAAGCCATATTCTCTCCTCCTTACTCCTCAGATGTCTTTTAAGGATAGAAGGCGCTCGCTGAGCAGTGAGATGACACTGAATTTTAATTTAGACGCTCGGCTCCGAGGGATCTGCAGATAGAGAATTGGTTGGAGAGTCTAAATTAATCCCCCAGTTCATTATCCCCATTTTTTTCTTTTTTCTTTTTCTTTTTTTTTCTTCTCCTTCCTTCATCACCAGAAATAACTAAGGAAAGGAAAAAAAATAATATCCCTGTTTGGGAACATCTCGCAGCTGGGTCTCCTCAGGGCAAGTCAGGAAGATGCTGATTTCTCAGGCCCATTGCCAGGGAAGCTGTCTTCCCCCCTTTCAGGTCTCGATTTGCAAAGTTCCCCTCCACCTGCTCTTTGTCTCCTCGGAGCTGTGAGCCTTAAAAGAAGACTGGGAAATGCAGCTTGCAGTCACCGTCAGCGAATTTCACTTTGAAATGTACGGTTGAGGAAGGGGTCCACGCTTTTGGCCTCCATTTTGCTTGTTACTGTTGATTGCTTAAAGTTTGCCCTACTGAGGAGGTAGTGTCGGCATCATAACCAGGATTGCGGGGATTGACAGCACAGGACAGCGAGAGTTGGGCCTTGATTCCGGCTCATGAAGTGCGTGCCAGTAGTCAGACCCCACCCGTCACAAGGCACTCTGCTTCTCTCTGCCAAACCCCCGTTCCTTTAGTACCAGACAAACGCGGGGCTTCGCGGGGGTGCACTCAAGTCTCACCAAGTCTTAGTTATGTGTTGCCAAGCAACACCAGGCAAGGCATGGACCGTTTTTGAGAACCTGCAAGGTCAAAGTGATAGTTTTTTTTTAGCTACAGACTAAGACTGACATCTCCTTGTGTCAAGTCGTCCTGCAACGTGGAAGTAATACTGGCACGTGCCCTGTTGGCACCCTGGCACCGAACCAAGGCACAGGCCCACGCCATGCTAGTAGCCGTCGCCAGCGTCACCACTGCAGCCTGCCCGCGGAAACACAGCACGGGTTTCATTCAGGGCCGTGCCTCGGGTTAGCAGTGAACATCCCTCTTCTTGACCCTTGCTCTCAGAGTCCGTGGGTTTGCTTGATGTCAAGGAAAGCTGAGAAGTATGAAGGATGCGCTTGGCATTTGTGCTTCAGAGAGCAGAGCTGGTTGGGCCAAGGAGACACTGAGTGTGACGGTCGGAAATGTCATCCTACCCGCCTTCACGAGCCCCGTTTTCTTGAAACAGCAACTGGCAGGCGAAGAGTTGCTCAGACTGGAGTGCTCGGCCTGTGTCTCCCAGTTGGCGTGACTGTCACTCCAAGGAGAAGGCAGACAGGATTTGTTGTTGCTCATGATAAGAGTTGAGTTTATTTTTGGTCTTGGGGTTTGTGTGTGTGTGTGTGTGTGTGTGTGTGTGTGTGTGTGTGTGTTTTGTTTGGGGCCGCACCCAGCAGTGCTCAAGGCTTACCCCTGGCTCAGTGCTCAGTGACCACTCCTAGTCATGCTTGAGGGACTACTCATGTAGAGCTGGGGGATCAAATCCAGGTTGGCCACATGCAAGACAACTTTTCTACTCTTACCCTCCCTCCCTCCCTCTTCCTCTCTCCCTCCCTCCCTTTCTTTCTCTCTCGTCCCAGAAGTTGAGTTTTTAAACAGAAATCCCCATGGTGCAGATTCCTGTCTGCTTCGCCAAGGCCAGGGATGTTCACAATTGGGTGTTTTGGACACTGTTGTAACCTGCCAATCATTGGAAGAACCCCAGGACTCCCTGGGCCAATATTTTCCAAACGGCCAGTATATGATGTTACAGAATCTTACAGAGTTCAAAATCCATCCAAGTTGTACTAGTGGATTTCAATTAACAAAGTGACAGAGTTTGCCAGTATCTTTTCAGATTCCACAGTTTTGACTAACATTTGAGTTCTGTTGAGTTTGGGTGTCATAGCGAAAAACACATGCAGATTTTAGAAATATGTATAGATTTCATTTCTTTTTTTTTTTTTTTTAATTTTATTGGATCACCGTGAGAAAGTTACAAGCTTTCATGTTTGGGTTACAATCACACAATGATCAAACACCCATCCCTCCACCAGTGCACATTCCCCACCACCAATATCCGTGGTATACCCCCCCTTCCCGACCCTCCCCCCACCTCCATGGCAGACAATATTCCCCATACTCTCTCTCTACTTTGGGGCATTATGGTTTGCAATACAGACACTGAGAGGTCATCATGTTTGGTCCATTATCTACTTTCGACACACATCTCCCATCCTGACTGATTCCTCCAGCACCTTCTTCTTAGTGATCCCTTCTCTATTCCAGCTGCCTTCTCCCCTCCGCTCATGAGGCAGGCTTCCAGCTATGGGGCAGTCCTCCTGATCCTTGTATCTACTGTCCTTGGATGTCAGCCTCATGTTATGTTGTTTTATGCTCCACAAATGAGTGTAGTCCTTCTATGACTGTCCCTCTCTTTCTGACTCATTTCACTTAGCATAATATGTATAGATTTCTGAATCACTCCCTTGTCTGAGCGTGTGCCTGGGTCCAGCTGGCTTTCTTGGCGCACTTCAACAAAACCAACCTATTGTAACGCTCTTTGATGTTCGCCCGTCTTCAGCCTAGCCGGTCAGCAAAGAAACTTGCGGGCCAGAGAGAGAGAGAGGGCAGCAGAGATGGAGCTTGTCTTGCACTTACCCTTCCAGGTTCGATCCCCAGCTTATGATCCCCCAAACCCCACCAGGAGTGATCCCTGAGTTCTTCTGGGTGTGCCCCTTCCAAAAAAAAAAGAAAGAAAGAAAGAAACAAAAATAGTGGCGCAAAAACTTCCCAACTTTTCATGTTGGAAATCACAGCTCTTTTTCATAAATATATATTTTTAATATCAACACTTTATTTCCTTCTCAGTTTAAATCCCCGAGGGCTGCAGCAGCCCATGGATTCTGTGACCAGTTGCCTTAGCAGGAAGGCTGCTTGGGAACTTGGCTCGACCCACACCACTGTTTCCCTGGCGCAGGTAACCTCTCCCCAGGCCACTCTGGTTGGTTAGGCTTGAGTACACTGTGCTGTTCTTTGCTTTGTACATGCAAGCACGTCTCTTGCCCAGAGAGAGTTCAGTTTTAGCCTGAGCATAAGCACCTTCAGTTGTTTGTTTGTTTGTTTTTCCTTTTTGGGTCACTCCTGGCGGTGCTCGGGGGACCATATGGGATGCCAGGAATCGAACCCAGGTAGACTGTCTGCAAGGCAGACGCCTTACCTGCTGTGCTATTGCTCCAGCCCCAAGCACCTTCAGTTTTAAGAACAGCTGGTTTTTGTCTTTTGTTTTTTTCCTGCTTTTTGGGTCACACCCGGCGATGCACACGGGTCGCTCCTGGCTCTCTACTCAAGAATTACTCCTGGTGGTGCTCGGGGGACCATATGGGATGCTGGGAATCGAACCCGGGTCAGCCGTGTGCAAGGCAAACGCCCTCCCCGCTGTGCTGTCGCTCCAGCCCCCAGGAAGAGCTGGGTTTTAACCAGAGCTTCCTCTCTTTCCGAGACCCTGCTGAGAGCCAACCCCAATGGCTTTGGGCCATAGCCTTCCATGACTGTTTCTGTCCATCAGTTCAGGCGTCCACAAGAACCGTAAACGAACGTTTGAGTTAACACGTAGCAGGCTTGGCATTATCTTAAAGACTCAACTCTGAGTCGTTAAAAGTATATCTATTTCCCCCTTTTCCTGCTTCCCCCTGAAGTCTGGTGAATAGCATAGAAAACCCATGCCGTTTGGAGAGGCCGATAAATTATAATGGAGCAACGTTGGAGAAACTTGTGAACCATCTCTACCAAGGGAGCTCAATCAGGGCACTCGAGATTTCTCGGGGAAAGACAGGAATTATATAAGAGTGAAGCTGAGTCCCGGCCTCGGCGCACACACTGAGGTCAGAGGTCACTGCTCCTCTTGGGCCCTGGCTGGGCTGCAGGTCCCGAGGCCGGGCTGCAGGTGTGCGCCCCGTGCAGAAGCCCGGCTGGGGGGCCGTGCCTCTGTGCCAGTGCATAGCTCCTGTTTCTCGGCGGTTCCTGTTCCCAGGCTGGGGCCGTTCTGGCAGGTTGGGCCTCTGGTCCAAGAAGCAAGTCAGCCGTCGGTGATGACATAGGCCTGGGAGGAACAGAGGGTCCACGGATTCCCCAGGGAAGCTGTCCTGCTTAGTCCCAGTCATGTGTGCTTGGCCTCCGGCTGCTGGCCAGGCCGTCTCGCCACCTCACTCCTCCCACCTAGTGTTGGGCCCGGGGACCCCCCAGCTTGTGGTAGCTGCTGGGGGGGCACCGTCTGGTCCTCATGACATTGCTGTGCCAGGCGCAGCCCCGCGGAGGTCAAGATAGCAAGGTGGGCACCTACCAACTGTGCCCAGTGTGGGTGTGGGCGTGGGTGTCCCGTCCCTTTCCCCCCCCGCCAGCTCCTAACTCAGCCTTTTCTGCTCTCTCCATTTTGGGGCGCGCCGCCTCTGCCCGGCTGCAGTGGCTGCCCGTGCTCCGAGTGCTCAAGGGCCAGGTTGAGGCGAACACGGGCCACAGCTTCAACTCACTGCTCTGCAACCTCTACCGCGACGAGAAGGACAGCGTGGACTGGCACAGTGACGATGAGCCCGCCCTGGGCCCCTGCCCCGTCATCGCCTCCCTCAGCCTGGGCGCCACCCGCACCTTCGAGATGAGGAAGAAGCCACCCCCGGTGAGTGGCCCGCCCTGTGCCCGATGCTCGCCTCCAGGCCTGGAGAAAGGCCCACTAGCACAGCCTGGGGGACAGGGCAGTGCTCTGGGCTGACCAGGGTGGGACTTGGGGGGTATAGGATGCTGGGGATTGGATCCCAGTCAGCCACTTGAGGGGTCAGGGTATATAGTATATATTTTTATTTAATTTTATTTATGTATTTATTTTATTTTTGCCTCTCGGAGAGCCCGGCAAGCTACCGAGAGTATCTCGCCCGCACGGCAGAGCCTGGCAAGCTCCCCGTGACATATTCGATATGCCAGACACAGTAACAAGTCTCATGGTGGAGACATTACTGGGCCCGCTCGAGCAAATCGATGAACAACAGGAGGATCGTGACCATGACCGTGACATATACATATACATATACATAGGATAGCCTGCTGTACTGTTTCTCCAGCTCACAAGCATAGAGGAGACATCTCTGTCTCTGGCCAACCCCTGGCCCTGCTGTTGAGGTTGGACCTTGACACTTGATCGTCCAGCAGGACTTGCACGCCATGGCCCAGTGCTGGGCTTTGTCCCCACCAGGGAGAGGGCGGACCCCCGCCCTGTCCTGATTGGAACGGGGAGTACAGCAGAGGGTGTCGGAAGGGGGCGCCTCGCTCCTGCCCAGTGGTCTCCGTGGCATGGCCGCTGCTCTCTCTGATGCCCTCACTCCCTTCTCTCTCTTGAGTTTGGTTTTGGGGCCATACCCCGCATTGCTCAGGACTGACTCTGGCCTCTGTGCTCAGAGGACCCCGTGGGGTGCCGGGAATCAAACCCCGGCCAGACGTGTGCCAGGGCATCGCCCTCCCTGCGGTGCTCTCTTCAGCCCCCTGACTGCCTTCTTAACTGACCCCTGAGGCTTGGGTGACTATCCCCGAGAGGGGAGAGCCAGGCCTGCTGGGGGACAAGGTCAGTACTTTTCCACTGCAGGGCTTGCTGTGACATGGGCCGGGGAGGGGTCAGGGACGTTCTCGTTTCTTCGACTGGAATGAGCCACCCGAGGGAGAAGGGTGACAGCCTCTGGGGGGAGCGCTTTGTCTGTGGGTGACCCCAGGGTGGCTGCTGCGTCTGACCCGTCCAGGCACCACCTCCGTGAGGGTCAGTCGGTGGACGTTCGCACCTGGTGGTGCTGAGGGGCTGTTCCCAGATCTGGGCTCGGGAGGCAGCCCCCGTGGGGCTCAGGGGGCCCTGGGTCTTGGGGATCCAGCTGGGAGCTGGGCCAGCGCCTCAAACCCTGGATCTCCCCCAGCACCCTCCAAGCATCATCGTCTTAGGAGTGTCTCGGAGGTGATGAGCATGAGCTCAGACACACGCCTGAGCCCCGCCGTGTGGGAAAGTCCCTCTGTAGTCTGCCAGGGGTGGGGACTCTGCACTGTAAGGCCTGCAGCCAGCTGGAGCTCAGATACCGCTCCCGAGGCTGAGAACATCTGAGGCCGTGCAACCCGAGACGCCTGGCTGAGGTGTGAGCTCAGCTTTGGGCCTCCTGCCCCGTTCATCCGTCCATCCGTCCGTCTGTCCGTTTGTCTATCCATCCGTCCGAGCCGGGGAGCAGCCAGGGCCGTGGTTTGCTCCCTCGGTCCTGGTGTTGATGGAAGAGGGGAAATTGAATCTGGATGTATCTGAAACTAGAATCACACACCTGCCACACCATCCTTTGAAAATGACTTGTTGGGTCCCGAAAGCTGGCCACCGGCTCAGTCCCCATCACCTCAGGGCACACACCCCCCCCACACACCAGCCTCCAGGCACTGCTGGGAACGGCCCCCAAACAAAACAGCATTTTCCTAGAACCTGTAAGTGGTGTTTTGTTTTGTTTTGTTTTCGCTGTTTGGGACACGCCTGGCGATGCACAGGGGTTACTCCTGGCTCTGCACTCAGGAATCACTCCTGACGGTGCTCGGGGGACTATATGGGATGCTGGGAATCGAACTCAGGTCAGCTGCGTGCAAGGCAAACACCCTACCCACTGGGCTATCGCTCCAGCCCCTGTAAGTGGTGTTTTCAGGTAAGCAGGAGACCCACTTTTAAACTTGTGTTCAGACTTCTAATTTCTTGAACACATTCCAGAAATCTGGGGCCCTGCAGACCTCACAAGACAATACGTGCTGTAGCTGTTTTTCGATCTCTCCCCTTCCCCAGATTCCCCCCTGTGGGTTGGGCTGCGGGGGGGGGGGGGGGGGGGGAGGTTGCCGCAACCCCCCCCCCCCCCACCCCGGGATGCTCAGGCCTTACTCCTGGCTCTCCACTCAGGGATCACTCCTTGCAGGCCTCGGGGGACCGTGTGGTGTGCTGTGGATTGAATCCTGGTGCGCTGAGTGCAAGGCCAAGACCTCCCCCTCTCCCTTGCCCCCCAGTCATTTCTCTAGCCCTGGGGCTACTCTTTGCTTTGAGCTGTCAGCCTCGGAAGTATATAGCAGAGAACATCTTATTCTGACAACCCCTTTTCTGCGAGCTCAAGAGGAAGTTGCTCTCGTAACTGTGTCATCTTGGTTTTTTTTTTTTTTGGTCTACGCCCTGGTGATGGCTGGGAGAATATGACTTATGATTCACGCAGCCCAAGGTGAATGCGTAAATTACAAAGCATAAATCAGGTGAGCGCGCCGTGGGCGTGGCTCTGAAAGTCTCGGCGCCCACTCCATGCGCCCCCGCTGGGAGGGTGCGGGAGGGGGTGTCTTTCCAACAGCACCCCCCCACCGAACACCCCCGCGCCCCCCGAGCGTGCACCGGAAGAGGAGTCGGAAGAGGAGTCGTCTGGTCAAACCGAGTCAGCTGGGGCTGACTGGGAGCGTCCGCAGATCTCCCTGCCCCTCATCAGGTTCTGCAGAGTGGCACGGAAGTGTGCCAGTTTGGGGACACTTTCAGAGGGAGCCGGGATTTTTTTTCTTTCTTTTTTTTTTTTCAATCCTGCTTCCTCCACCCAGCAGCAGCTGTGTGATTCCTAGACTGGCACCTGCTGAGAGCACACTCCTCTCTCCCCGGGCAGTGTGCCCTGCTGGTGCCTCCAGGGTTGGGGGACTCTGCACGCTGTGCCCCAAGGTAGACCCAGCCTCCTCCTCCATGCTGCCCGCCCTGCCCTGCCCTGCACTGTCGACTCCTGGCTCTTTCTCATTCTAGAAACACGTCCTTCCCTTGAATGCTCCTAGGCCGCGGGGAGGGGGCCAGTCCGTCTTGCCATCCCGTTCATCCCGCCCCTCCTCTTGCTGAATCACTCCCGACCCCAGAGAAAAGCATCGTCCTCCTCTGTCTTGGCAAATGGCAGAGAGACCGTCTTAAGGCAGAGGTAAAGCTTCGCCCAATGAACTTCAGGAGACTTTTTCTTTCTTTTCGGTCAGTAATTAGCGACCTTTTGGGTTTGTTTGTTTTCTCTTCCCCAGCCGGCTCATGACAGCTCTTCTGCCCTTCTTATCCCAAATCCGGTCGTGCTTAGCAGGCTGCGTCGTGTCCCCGCTGTAAAGATTAGTCTGGTGCTATTCCCTGCTGGCTTTAACTCTGTCCTGAAAAACAAGCCAGGAAAGGAGCTACAGAAGCCACTTGGCAGGCTGCTATTTCTCTGTCGGTTGCCACGGAAACCGTGGTGGCTGAGTTGGGGGGTTATTAGATAATGGCAGGAAGTTTGTGGTGCTCCTGAGGGTTGGGCCTCAGGACCTGATTTTTCCAGCAGGTCCGGCTGTGGAGGGGTTCTGGCCTCCATCCTCGTGTGTGTATGTGTGTGTGTGTGTGTATGTGTGTGTGTCTATGAGCACGTGCTCTTTGTGTGTTTGTAGTGTGTGTGTGTGTTGTGTGGGTGTATGGGGTGTGTATAGTGAGTGTAGGGGGGGTGGGGAGTGTGCAGTGTGTGGGGGTGGATATGGAGTGTGTAGGGGTGTGTGTGTGTGTGTGGTGTGGTGGATGTGGGGGTGTCTGGATGGATGTGTGTCTGGTGTGTGTGTGTGTCTGCGCGCGCTTATAGTGTATGTATATAGTGTGGTGTGTGGGTGTGTGGATGTGTGTGTGGATGGTATGTGTGTGTGTGGTGGGTGTTGGGGGTATGGGTGGATATGTAGGGGGCTGGGGGGGTGTATGAGTGGATGTGTGTGTGTGTGTGTGTGTGTGTGTGTGTGTGTGGTGGGTATTGGGTATGTGTGTCGTGGGTGTTGGGGCTCCCACACGCAGAGCCTGCCCTCGGCCCTTATGCACACACACTTGTATACATACACACACACACACACACTCACTCTCAGGGCTCCCACATACAGAGCCTTCCGTGCACACCCGAGGGCTCCCACATGCAGAGCCTGTACTCGACCCTTGTACACACACGTGCACATGCGTACACACACACACACACATACACACCTGGGGCTCCCACATACAGAGCCTTCCGTGCACACGTACTCACCCAAGGGCTCCCACACGCAGAGCCTGTACTCGACCCTTGTACACACGCGTGCACATGCGTACACACACACACACACACCTGGGGCTCCCACATACAGAGCCTTCCGTGCACACGTACTCACCCGAGGGCTCCCACACGCAGAGCCTGTACTCGACCCTTGTACACACACGTGCACATGCTTACACACACACACACACACACACCTGGGGCTCCCACATACAGAGCCTTCCGTGCACACGTACTCACCCAAGGGCTCCCACACGCAGAGCCTGTACTCGACCCTTGTACACACACGTGCACATGCGTACACACACACACACACACCTGGGGCTCCCACATACAGAGCTTTCCGTGCACACGCACTCACCCAGGGCTCCCGCACGTAGAACCTGCACTGGACGCTTACGCACACACGCCTCCTCTGCTTCAGCAGGCTCGGGCCGGGCCTTCTCCAACCAAGGCCTTTTATCACGTCGGATGCAGTCGGGCAAGGCCAAGCTTTCTGTTCTCAAGTTCACCCTCAGAGTTGCTGGAGCGACCTTGATACTGAGTGTGACGCCAGGATGGTTTGGGCTTCCATGAGTCACTCCTGCCC